TCACTGATTTGTTTTATAAGTTATTTTTTAATTGGTATCTTAATGTCAATTTGGACCACCTTGCTAAATTTGAGAAATATCAAAATCAATTTAAATAAACATACTTTGAGGGGGGGCTTTTTTATTTATTTATTTTTTATTATTATTATTTTGGTCTCATTTCAAGAATAAAAAGTTTCTGGCCTTGCTTTTTTAAAAGAAGTACTTTTTTGAATAAATAATGACCACGTGACTGAAAAGAGATTTGGGGGAGGTCCTGGTGACCTAAGGTAAGGGAGAGAAGCTTGAGTTCCACCTATGGTCTGTGACTAATGGATTCTGGGAAATGTAAGTTGAGGGACAGGTTTTTGGGGGAAGATGGCGAGTTTGAGTTTTGACATCAGGAATGTGGAGTGTTTATTGGACATAGGTGGATATAGCCAGAGGTATCGGTGCTCATGAGAGAAATCCAGGCTACAACTGACTAGGATATGGACACAGAGAGGCAACATTGTAGGCAGGTAAGTTTATTAACTCTGGAGCCAGATTGCCAGTATCAAATCCCTCTGCTGTTAACTAGCTGCATAACTCGGTCAGCGTTCCTAACCTCTCTGTACTTTCATTTCTTTACCTCTAAAACTGGCTTTAAAATCACTATCCATGGCCAGGCACAGTAGCTCATGCCTGCGGTTACTATTCTTTTCGTTTCTTTTGGGTAATGGAAGGACGAGACAGAGGAAGAAAGGGTGGGAAGCTGGATAAAGAGAGAACAGTGAAGGAAAACCATTAAAGAACAGTGAAGGAAAGAGGTATAGTTATTGATGCAAAGGATTTTTCAATGATGTCTCTTACCAAGAGAATTCAAGGTAAGAAACTAAATTCATAGGAACAGCAGAACAAGAGCTTAGCCCTACATTTAATGGGACAGGCAAATGCAAGAAAAGGATTGTAAAGGATGCGAGGGGGGTGCATGGAGAGAGGACAGGCTTGGGCAAGACAAAAAGAGAAGGATGTTTTCCCTGCACCCCCTTCCCTGCCCATAAATAAAAGCTACCGTGAGCTCAAAGCTTGTCTCCTGAGCCGAAGACCAAACCTTAGCTTCGAGTTTGGCCCTAATGATCCATGCTAACGGTTCGTGGACTCCTTCCATCCAGTGACCTTAGCTGGTTATCTCCATGGTAACAGCACACATCCCAAACTGTTCCTTCCTGTGTGGGAGGAAACATTTCAGAAATGGGGGAAGGCTGAATTTAACAGTGGTTTTTCCCTCTTGTGACCCTTCTTTGGCAAAGCGCACACTTTTTTGCGAGCACACTGCAGTCTCCTGAGGAAAACGTCCGTAGAAGAGGATGTTTTGTGACTTTATTTGCAGATGCATGCCCAGGACGCATTTTTAAAGTAGAAGCCTGAATGTGCTTTTCTTTGAGTGTTTCTCGGGGCATTCCACCATTCTTTTAAACAACTCCCCGAAGAGAAAAGCCAGCGTGCTGTCTTCATGTTGAAAGAGAGAGCTCAAAAAGGTTAGATAGCTTCCCCAGAGCTACAGGGCAACAGTTAGGCTAGAAAGCCGGACGTAACAAGAACTGAGGCTCCGCTAGCTGCTATTTACACCCTACCTCCCTGCATTTCAGGCACAGCCTGAGCCACCATCCTGGCCAACTGGCTGATAGACAGCTCTCCCTCCAGCCCTGGACTCTGCCTCTAGTCCCATGACCCATGACATGTCCTGTGATTTTCTTCAGCACAGTGTGCAGATTTTAAGGTAAGGGTATGAGGTAAAGGTATGCTCTGCCTAAAGCTGGAGTGAAAGTTACATTTTAAGCTCAATGTTTTGTTTGTTCCACAAAGTCTAGGGTCAGAGCAGCATTTTACAGGATGATAAATTACCCTTGCTTAGCTGAGCCCTAGAAGTGCATGTCTGACCATGAAACCCTCCAATTGCAGCTCTGAAAAGCACCAGGGGGTCCACTTTCCACCCAGATTCATGAGCCAAGAGCACTCATTCCTTGGCCTGACTTCAGCCTTTCCCGGTAATTTTGATCCCATGATTCTACCCGTGAAAGAAATCTTTTACTGTGTAACATCCCTGCCTGACTCTGACGTACAAAGGTGTAATTAGAACAGTGTGGAGCAGGCAGGATGATCTATTTACCTCATCCCTAACATTTAAGCACTTTCAAAATATGTTTTTAATATCTTAGGTGCACAGGGCCAAATTCCCTTCTCAGTTTTTCACATGCATTAGCAAATCCACACAGACTAAACCCCTTGGGCCTTAGGTTCTGCTTAGAAGTTCTTTTTTTTTTTTTTTTTTAAAGAAAACAAATATTCCATTAAAACGACAAAGTGTACTCTGCATATTTTTAGGACAATTAGAGTTCAGAATTCCCTCTTCTTCCGCCCATGGCTTAAAAAAATAAAAAATTTCTTAACTATTTCCTTACAAAGAATGACATTCAACTAGGATAAATGGAAAGGCTGTCTTGCCTTTTAAAATAATCTCATCTTACATCATCAAAGTACCAACTGGTGGATCAGGACTCTCGATATTGTTTGGAAAGGATCTAGACTCTCCCCTACTGTTGCCAGGTAAATTCTTCAGGCACACAGTTACTGGTGAACTGTATGGAAACATTTACTTGAAACAGAAAAGCCAAGTTCACAGGAAAGAGCAACAAAATTCAGGATGCTTCCTACCATTTGCTTGATTCAAAAACAGATCACGCAAATAAAATCATGAAGAAGAGACTGCCGCAGGCTGGCCATGCCTCAGCCTGTGGGCAAGAGATACAGAAAGACCAAGTGGGAGGGGCTGGAATCAGTCTAAGTCAGGAGGGGACCGGGAGAGGGAGGAGAGTCACCCCCAACCCCACACTTTGTACTTTGCTGTGTTGGTAAGTTTGTGTTGCTGTATGCACAGCAAACGTTTTGCCCATTAGCCGGTGCTGTGGGGCCAACGTGTGGATAATATTTGCCAAGACAATATGCACATCAAACGTTTTCTTGCAACCAAGCTTGGAGCAGCATCTCAGCAGCAGTTGCCCTATCACTGCATGTTCGAACTCCAAAGGCTCCAGAGCCGCCACATTTGAAAAGAGAAGTCCTTGTAAGATCACCTGCAGCTTGTTTTCCATTCATTACAAAGCATTTCAAAGGATAAAAAGCCAACCCTCACTCACTCCACAGTTCAAACAGAAATAAGATGCCCTCAAGAGATACTGACTGGAAGAGAAGCGAAATCCAGAAATGGCTTGGGAAATGTGCCTGTGATGTCTTAGAAACTAAGAATTATATTGAAGAATCAAAGAAAGAATTCACCACTTCCCAGGAGGGAAAAAAAGTGTTTATTTATTTAAATTAAAAATACTGTGAAAATTACAAAGTGTTAAATACAAAAGACAATTCTATACAACTCAATAGAATAAGAAGGAAGTATATACATCACTTTTTAGTAGGTGCAGATAGACTTGCACCAAACTTCAGGGTTAAGCAATGGAAAATGTGACAAGGCACATGTCCGTCGCAGTGAAATTTCAGAATTCAAGTGATTCCAGGCAAGAGGCCAAACTTAACTTGGCTTCTTTCAACTTAAACAGCCCCCTTTGGAGTAACTCCACGCTGAATTTTAAAGTGACCGGAGGGCCTTTTTCCCCCAAACATAAATTTCCTTTAGCTGTATGTCAAAGCAGACTGATAAACCAGCTCCTACACTGTTAACCCTTCTGTGGGAACGGTAGTGATTGCTGTGTGTCCAATCCATGTAGAGTATTTTTCTTTAAAAAAAAAAAAAAGTGGCTGGGTATGGCGGCTCACGCCTGTAATCCCAGTACTTTGGGAAGCCAAGGTGGGCAGATCATTTGAGGCTAGGGGTTCAAGACCAGCCAGGCCAACGTAGCAAAACCCCATCTCTACTAAAAATACAAAAAGAAACTTAGCCAGACATGGTGGCAGGTGCCCATAATCCCGGCTACTGAGGAGGCTGAGGCAGGAGAATCGCTGGAACCCAGGAGGTGGAGGTTGCAGTGAGCTGAGATCATGCCATGCCACTCCAGCCTAGGCGACAGAACACAACTCCGTCTCAAGAAAAAAAAAAGTTATTTTAAATAGAATTAAGTTTGACCTTTTACTTCCTCCTTGCCTTTAAGGACCTGATGAATCTGCAAAGCTGTTGACCACAGGAATACATGGAGACATTGGAAGCATTCCTGTGTGTTTTTCTTTAGACTTTGGTTTCCCTTAGCTGGGAGTGTTAACATCACACATTCTCCAGAGAACTTTAGAGGAGAATGTGGTGTCTGCCTCTTTGCTTCGATCCTGGGAAAACTACAGCAGGGGTGGGTTGGTAGCTTGCCCTGCATTCCCCAGTTATATGTATTCTGAGTCTCCAACTGCTCCTTTACATCAGTGGATCCTTGTTCAAATGAACTGACCAAAGAGGAAATGTTTGGTCCAAGCTTCCTCACACCAGGCTGTGGAGTATTTATCACAGAGCCCTAAAATCTAAAGGCATCCTCCCAGCCCCCTGGGGATGAAGATAGTCAGGAGCCTCATGCAGACAGCGAGCCTCTTGATGACTTGCCCAGGACCACACAGCAAATGAGCTTCAGGGCTCGGGATCAGAAAGCACAGAACTTGGAGCCCAGCTTTGTGCAATCTCTGCATGAGTATGCCCTTCTAGGTCTCAGCTACGTGACGAAATACCACATTATGTCCTCTCCCAGCTCAGAAAACTAGGCTGGGAAACGGAGCAGCAGCAGCACTAACGGCTTGGCCTTGTTCAACCCCACCTTACCCCTTCTAGAAAGATCAGGAAGAGTCCCCCGAACCACCATCAGGAGTGCAGGTTAGATTCTGGGGAAGCTCTTCTGATCCAAAGAATGTCATGCCAGCATGTGATGCTGCATGGTCACAGGTCAGAGTTCAAGGTCATAAGTTAGACAAAAGGTCAATATAGCAGATCATCTGTTACAACCCCAGCCAATGTTAACAGGTTTAAAAGTTACTTTTTTTTTTTTTCTTACAGTGTGCAAATGGGCTGGGTTCAGATCTCCAGCTTTCTCCCATCAAAAATCCTCCTCTAATCCAAAAGAAGCTTGTAACCCACTGTGAAGCAATGCCACAGGTACACAGTAGAGATACTTACAGCCAATCAGATCTAGAACGACAAAGCTCTAGGCAAAATAGCAAATCACAACTAGTCCCTCCGCATGTCCTAAGCATTTGGCAGCCCTGGGAACAGGCAGACCCTGCAGGAGTTACCCAGGGCGTCCAGTGAGAAAATGGCAAGCACATCGTGCCCCCAAATTCTCAACAGAACCCCCAACACCCAGACCCCAAAGTCAATGTACACGCTGCACATTTCCGTGGCTTTTTCCGTGGAGGGTGCAAACCACAGGCACCTCGCAGACTCCTTGGGGCTGCTGGCTCCGGCTGAGCCTCGCCCCCACCCCATCCCAAATCAGGGGCTTGCAGAGGGTCTCTTCAAAGTGGCAGCCACACTGCGAAAGTGAAACCAGACACTCGCAACATGTCCTTCGTGTCTCTAAGGGTGCTGGCTGATGGAGCCACCGGCGGGGGTCCCGGGGATGCTAGGAATTCTGATGAATGTTCTCCGAGGACCCTTCGCTGCTTTCGATGGGGGGCGTCTCCGAGGTCTCCTCCAGCTCATCGTCTGCGCCCTCCTCTTGAATGGTGAGGTGCACGTCCGGGGAGGAGGACTCGGAGCTCACGCTGTCCCCTTCCATGGAGCAGAGGGTGCAGGACAGCGCGGGCGCCACGCTCTCCTGCAGCATGTTCAGCATCAGGGGCACCTGCACCGACCTCAGGCCCGACACCACGGGCAGCGGCTTCATGGCCTCCCCCCACAGCCGCTCCTCGTCTTTGTACAGCAGCAGGAGGCTGGACTTCTTCTCCCGCCTCTTGGATTTCATGTAGCCCAGCATGATTCCGATCAAGAAAATGCCGTAGAAGGACATGACAACCAGAACGTAGAAGTACTCGTTGCCGTTGCGGCTGCCACCGCCGGGAGCTCGGGACTCCAGGGGGCTGCTGGAGGCGGCGGTGCCGGGGTGCGTGCTGTTCAGAAGCTCCATCTTCAGCATTGAGGCTGCCTGCACGGCGGGGCCTGGGGAGAAAGCCGCAGGTTAGAGCTCTCCCGCGGGTCCTGGGCACAGAGAGGAGGGGGAGCACGAGGTTGCGGAACTGCAATACCAAAAAAGCTTAAAAGTGCATGAAAGAAGTCGCATCAGAGGTTTCGCCAAACAGCTGACAGGAGTGAGCTAGAGGACTTGGAGTACACGGGAGAGAAGCCCGGGGAGGGTCACTGAGAAAAGTAAGAAGGACTTTTTTTCTTTTCTTTTCTTTTTTTTTTTTTAAGTGTACAAGTTAGTCCTATTTGCATTTCACAAAGTGAGCAGTATTACTTTGATATTTAAAAAAATCAGTGTAAGATAGGAGCATAAAGTAAATAATATCTTTAAAATTAGGAAACATATTTTAACTGAGCAGAAGGAAAGTTTACATTGTGTTTCCTAAACCCAACTATTTTTAATTCAAAACAATGTTTCCTTAGAGCAAAGAAAAGCAGAAAGAAAACAAAGGGAAAATATTCAGCTATTAGTTGGCAAAAATATCCCTCTTTCAAATGTTTCTGAAGCAAAGTGTAGCCTTGCTCACTTACCAAGGCTGACAGTTTGTCCCAAGTTTTGAATTCCCAAATCGTCCAGTCCAAGAGGGTTCTTCTGCTCTGTCCGACTCTGAGCTCTGACAGCTCCGCTGCTGCAGTTGGGATATATAGTCAAGAAGTGCATCGTCACGTGTTCTGGGAGGAAAACTTACAACAGAGGGTGATCCCGGCAGAGTAAGCAGTGAACTGAAATCACTGCCGTTCAACTCCCTGAACTTCGCAGCTGCGAAAAGAGAAAAAGACTGGGAAGTGAGAACTGCTCCTCACACCCCAGCGCCCAGCCAGGGTTTTCAGGTGGTGGTGATGATGCGTGAAGAGAGGAGAAAGGAATGTGCTGCGCTGGAACCCTTACCCCAAAATCCACTCTCACTGAAAATTAGCTCATGCTTCATCCAGCTCTTGGGGAATAACCATTATTGGACTACAGGTTTTCAGAGGCAGCTGAATCCCATTATCTGGATGAAAGACAGTTGGATTTACAGTCAAGGAACTGGGGCTTCTGTTTCAGTTCTTCCACTCGTTATGCAAATTTCATAAATCCTTCCTTAACCTTTCCACACCTCACATTCCTAGTCTGTAAAATCGCTGTGTGGGAGGGTCTTCTGCAGGCAGAATTATATAAACCACGTGACCTTTTGAGTCCCTTTCAGCTTAGCCCTTCTAAGATTTAAGCTGGCTGGTGTAGCTTAGCCCTCTAAAAGCAGAGATTCTACCTGCCTTCCATATCAAGATCACAAACCTATGTTTATAACAGTTATTTTCTAAAACATCTTCCAGGTTCTTTTCAGTGGTCTGCACGAAGTGGAAACATGTTGTGCTAAAAGATACTATGGGCTGGTTTTGTTCGTCCTGCCATACACAGCTGCTCCTTTGAAGCCTCATGCAGAGACCATTCATACATCTCTTTGCTGTTTCTGACAGGTCAGGGGAGGAGCAGGACTATTTCCGAGTGCAACTAAGCACGGTTCAAGAGTTTAAACCTAGGTAGACCCTGTGTTTAAATGGCTGCTGTGATCAAAATTGGAACAGGAATTGCAGGCTTTGATGTCAGTCTTTCTGCTTCCTGGGCTGCTTATTCTAAGAGGCTTTCATTCTAAGTGGAAGGAAACTGGGAGGGACCCGCTCCCTCCAGTTGTCTGTGGCCTGTGGATTGCAGCCAGACTGTCTTGTGGGGCCAACTTTAAAGGAAACATCTCTCATGGTTCTGCTGTAATCAAACTGAAGTATGAGACATCCATCTCTCCGGATTGAACATATATAGCTTTGGCCCTGGAACTTTCACTGCTGCTACAGGAACCACCTTGGTTGGCACCTGATCCTGATTCTAAGAAGACACCTGTGGGAAGAGTAGGAATATTAACTCAATGCTGCTGTTCTTCCCACTTGACTACTCAGCTGTGCTCGCCCATAAATCCCCAGCTGGCACTGGAGGTATCAACCATTGACCACTCCAGCACCAAGATCATCCAGACAGTGAAACTGTGCTCACCCCAGTAGTCACCTTCACCACTGTGTCAATACTTACCCTCCATAGCTACCTTGGCCACAGTAGACTTGGCCTTTGCAACCTGTGTCCATCATAAGCACTAGAACACTCCATCTACACCTAAGCCTACAGTGGAATGTCTGGGACACTAGAACAAGAGAGGCTTATGAAAGAGATGCTTGTAGATTGTCGACCCCGGCATTGTTGATTGTGTACCTTAGGACATATGAGATTGGTCATCACCCAGGGATTGTCCAACACCAAAACTTTGAGTACGCAGAGAGGAGGTGGGGATAGGGGTTACCAGATTCAAGGAGCAGGAAGTACAAAGCCTGATTTCAGGAAGCCAAACAGATACTAAAGTTTTAAACAAAATAAATCCCCAAACCTGAGCCAACAGTCCCAAGGGAATACAACCAAGAAAAGACATGAGTGTGGGGAAACTCTAGAATAAAGTCCAAGCGACAAAACAAGCCAAAGCCAAAGGAAGAATAAAATTCACAAGAGTCAGGAAGGGGATACCCCAGACAAAATTCTGGGCTGCCTATTTGGAGTCCCCGATGCCCTGATTCCCATGGACTCCCTGCATGGATACTTCTACTAGAGTTAACTGAGGACAGGTGCAGTGGCTTATGTCAGTCATCCCAACGCTTGACGAGGCTGAGGTGGGCAAATCACTTGAGCCCAAAAGTTTGAGACCAGCCTGGGCAACACAGTGAGACCCTACCTCTACCAAAAAAAATACAAAAATTAGTCAGACATGGTGGCATATGCCTGTAGTCCCAGCTACTTGGGAGGCTGGAGTGGGAAGTTCACCTGAGACCAGAAGCTCAAGGCTGCAATGAACTCTGAACATGCCACTGCACTCCAGCCTGGGTGACAGAGCAAGATCTGTAAATAGAATAGAATAGAATAGAATAGAATAGAATAGAATAGAATAGAATAGAATAGAATAGAATAGTTAAATGAAATGGTGCAAAGAAAGCACCATGTCTGGTGGGATGCGCACACTCAATGTCTGATTTGAGTTATTGTTAGGAGCACCCTGTTGCTCCCAAGGGCTTCAGGTTGCCTCCTGTCATGTGTGTGCCCATCTCCAGACTTTTTATAAATGCTCCTTCCCCTGTCTGTCACTCCCAGGAATGGAATTTAAGAGAAGGGAATTCCAACTTTAAAACACATAGCCCAATCTTCTTCCCAGCCCTCATGCATGACAGCGATTGTGAGGATGATGGGAGTGAATAATGGCATAAAGAATGAGGGGAAGGGGGCACATCTAGAGAGTGCACTCTATCGGGAGAGGATGGGGCTGCTCCAGAATTATTAATTATATCTAGCCTAGGTCTTGGTTTTAGGAAACAGCAATGTAAAAGAAATAAATCAATTTTGGCCAGCATTTCCATTTCCTGAACAGTGTCTTTTCAGGAGCAAACATAGCTTATTCTGATGAAATCCAATTTATTTTAAATGTTGTGGTTGTGCTATTTGAATTTTACCTAAGAAATATTTGCTTAACCCAAAGTCATAAGGATTTTCTCTAATTTTTCTTCTAGAAGTTTTATGGTTTTAGCCTTACATTTAGGCCTATGATACATTTCAATTTAATTTTTTTCTACAGTGTAAGATATGAGTTAAGGGTTTTTTGAGGGGGTTGTTTGTTTTTGTTTTGCATATGGATGTCCAATTGCTTCAGCATTATTTGTTGAAAAGACTCCCTTTCCTGTTTAAAATTATCTTGGAAGCTTTGCTGAAAATCAATTAACTTTATATATGCAAGTCTATTTCTGAACTCTTCATTCTGTTCCTTTGATCTATCTATCTATCTTTGCATCACTATTATTCTGTTTTGATAAATCCATTTTAAAATTGTATTTTATATGAGTCTAAGATACACTGCAGTTAATACTAGCCAAGTGTTTTTCATGTACCAAGTACATGTAAGTCCTGTGAAGTCAGATATTATTGCAACCATTTCATAGATAAAGAAACTGAAGGTAAGAGGGTCTAAGCAAGTTGCTCAAGTCAAATCACTAGTAGTAGTCAGTACTTGAACCCAGATCTATGCAACTCCAAAACCCATTCTTTTTCCACTACCCTTTGTCTCATTGAATGGAAAACAAGAAACTCAAAAAGAGTAGAAAGTCAAATGTAGATATTTTTCCAACTTCTTTAAGTCTTCATAAAGCTTTTCTTTAAAAATGTGAATTCTTACATACCCAGATACTCACACATAAATCAAACATGCCACTACAAGTTTTCTTCTGAATTCATGTTACTTTAGATACTGGAGGCTGCACCAACCTCAGCATGTTCTAGAAGTTATCAGTGAAGCAGTAATACTCTTACCCTATATTTATGTTGTTCATAGCACAGCAGCTTATCTGCCTGCATATACTGCCTTGATATAATTTGGTTCTGTGTCCCCACCCAAATCTCACCTTAAATTGTAACCCCCATGTGTCAAGGGTGGGACCAGGTGAAGGCAATTGAATCATGGGGGCTGTTTCCCCCATGCTGCTCTCATGATAGTGACTGAGTCTAAGGAGATCTGATGGTTTTGTAAGCATCTGGCATTTCCCCTGCTTGCACTCACTCCATCCCGCCACCCTGTGAAGAAGGTGCCTGCTTCTCCTCTGCCTTCTGCTATGACTGTAAATTTCCTGAGGCCTCCCCAGTGATACAGAACTGTGAGTCAATGAAATCTCTTTTCTTTATGAGTTACCCAGTCTCAAGTTTGTCTTTATTAGCAGTGAGAACGGACTGATATATTAGCAGTGAGAACGGACTGATATAAGCCTGTTATGGTCTTCTTGTTTTAATATGTTGTTTTCTTTCTTTCTTTCTTTTTCTATTTGATCCTGACACACACTTTTTCTACAGCTTTGAGCATTTTCATTTCCTGATAACGTCATTTTTACCAGATGACCCTGGAGTCTCTCGCCACACATCTCTGAAATTATGTTAACAGCTTCTGTGACTAAACAAAGTCTATGCTGGGATAACAGCATGGCTGTGAATCTCATCAGATTAAACGTAAGTCTGGAGTCCAGAGATCTGACCCAGCTCAGCCTTGCTGGTGCTACGTGACTGGCTGGGTTGCATAATTGCTCTGTGTTTCAGTTTTAGCTACCCTCAGGCATGTCAAAAGTAGCATCATTAATTGTCTCAAGATCTTGAGAAATGTCCCATAATCCACTAAACTGTCCCCATCCTGAGCAGACTAGGGTTTGGTTCTGGTAGAGTATTGCAAAATGAAATTCTCAATGCCCACCACTGGTTTTGCTTTTCCCAGAAACTCTGTCTGAAAAGTTCTGTCTGGGAACTTGAGCAGTGGATCATCCATTCTAATGCCCTGAGTCACCCTCCCTGGACACATACTTCTTAGCATTCCTTTCACTAGGAATCAAACAGGACTGAATATCTTATAGGTCCCTAATAAGACCCACAGGCCCTCCCTGTAACACCAGCTATGCCTTGAAGGATGTGGCTGTCAGCAGGGCCTGCTTAGATATCATCCAAAGGAGGTTAGGAGGGAAGAACTGAAACTCCTAAAATTAACAGTAAAGTTGGTATTAATTCACCTTTGTTATGTATTGTTCAAGCATTTTTTATTGCATTTTAGGTTTGGGGGTACATGTGAAGAACATGCAAGATTGTTGCATAGGTACACACATGGCAGTGTGATTAGCTGCCTTCTTCCCCATCATCTGTATCTGGCCTTTCTCCCCATGCTCTCTCTCCCCAACTCCCCACCCCACACTGTCCCTCCCCTATTTTTCCCCAACAGACCCCAATGTGTAGTGTTCCCCTCCCTGTGTCCATGTGTTCTCATTGTTCAACACTCAACTATGAGTGAGAACATGCAGTGTTTGATTTTCTGTTCTTGTGCCAGTTTGCTGAGAATGATGGTTTCCAGGTTCATCCATGTCCTTACAAAGGACACCAACTCATCGTTTTTTATGGCTGCAT